GAATATAAATGAGCTGATATAAACATATATATAAAGAGCTTAAAACAATGCTTGGTGCTGAACTGTACACCTAAAAATGTGTGAACTTTATGGCATATAAATTATACCTCAATAAAACTGTTTAAAAAAAAAAAACAACAACAGTGCTGGACGCATGGTAAGTGCTCAACAAATATCAGTCACGGCGCATGCCAGACACCATTGGGGAGTCACTCAGGAGCCATTTCCTGAGCTGCCTGCTCTGTAGTCGAAGCTAAGGCAGCCCGAGCCCTGTCCTTATAGGCTTACAGCCCACTGGTGACACAGACCTGTCCACAAAGTGGTCAGGCTTGGATGGCAGAACACAGGGGGCTCACTGGGGGGGTCAGGGAGGGCTTCCCAGAGGAGAGAACACAGAGAGAGGACCTGGAGATGGCAGAACAGGGAGCCATCACTGATTTACCCGACTTCGTGCTCTCTCAGATAGAACCAACTCACTGAATCTTCAGGAGGAGAGAACACAGAGAGAGGACCTGGAGATGGCAGAACAGGGAGCCATCACTGATTTACCTGACTTCATGCTCTCTCAGATAGAACCAACTCACTGAATCTTCAGAACGACCCCAGGAGGCTGGCACTTTTATGACCCTATTTTCTGGAAGACAAACTGAGGCACAGAGAAGTTAAGGGACTACTCAAGACACACAGGCAGGAGGTGTGACACAGTAGAAGTCCCATGGACCTCCAAATGCCCCTGGGAAGCTGGCATTGTGTGCCTGTGTATGAGAGACTCCAGGCATATATGTGTATCTGGGCTGTGCTGTGGTTGTACCCATGTGTGACTTTTTGTGTCATGTAGAACTGTATAAGACTTGCAGGGCTGCTGGGGACTGGATGGGGGTAGGGGTGGGGGGCAGTTTGGGAGGGAGGAAGGGACAGGTCACCAGAGGGACAGCAGCTGGGGCCCCCTCCCTCCCTAATCCCTACACAACCACACACATTGGCCTGGATTTGGAAAGTGTGTCTCATGGGGCAGGGAGGGGAGAAGGAAGGGAGGTTGAGTCAGCGTGGGAATGGGAGACGTGGCAGAGAGGAACCCAGAGCGCACGACGGCATTCATCCAATGAAAATAGTCATCATTAGCACTTCCATAGCACCTACTGCATGCCACACACTGTTCTACACACGTTCCACATTTCAACCAATGTAACCCTTAGGACAACCTATGAGGCTGACAGTATTATTATTCCCATTTTATAGATGAGAAAACTGAGGCACGGAGAAGTTAAATGGCTTGCCCAAGGCCCCACAGTTTAAAAGCAGCAGAGCCCAGATTTGGGCCCCACCAGAGGACTCCGTTACACTACAATCACACACAAGCTTGTTCACAGATACTACACACAGAGGAAGCCACACAGCCCCACCACACACACAGATACATACACTCACGTCCAGTAGCACACACCTGGATGTAATCGCAGCCACGCATTGCACGGTGCAGGCTCTCAGACACAGCCTTGCGCACAGTCTGGGACCTGTGCAGATATTCATGATCACATAACCGCAAAGGCACTGTGAGACCCACACACAGCCACAGACACAGACATTAGCGCACACACACAAGCACAGAGACACACACTTGCACACCCACCGTCGTACAGAGACACCGTCGTATACATATGACCCCCACACCCTCCCAGATCCAAAGGCACCAGCACAGACACAAGCGCGCTGTTACATAACAGATGCTCCTGCACCCACAAACTCTCACGTGTACACACTTGCACACACTGTACACCAAGATACAATCACTTGCTGTCACATACAGCCCAACAAAATCCCCTCAATCCTGGACAGTTCTACATGGCAACAAAAAGTCACACATGGGCACAACCACAGCATAGTCCAGACACACACATACGCCTGGCGTCTCTCATACACAGGCACAGAATGTCAGACTCACACCCACAATTATACACCTTCTCAGACACACACGAAATTAACCACACAGTTAAATAAAAGAGGTCCTTCCACACACACACATTCATGCACACATTTCACAAGACAATTGTATTCAGAGACACAATCAGTCGCACACAATCCCACAAAGTCCCCCATAGTCCTCAGAGTTGCACAAAGTCACATCCACCCATAATTACAGGCACAAGCAGACTCCCAGACACACACACACACACAGGGTCTCACACGCACAGGCACACACACAATTCCTCCAAGTCACACAACCTGAGTCATGACCAAAATTCTACATGTCCGCTGACACGCACACAGTCACACACAAACACTTAGAACCACCCACACCGAATCATACCCTCACAATGGCACACTTTCCCAGGGTAGACCCAAAGTCATACACTCACACACACAAACCCACACCGACAGACTCTCTTCTTCCTCTACCAAGGCCAGGGCAGGAGACCCCATTCTCTACTCTCCACACCCACCAGCCAGCACGCTGCCCTGCTGTGGAGACCCGGCTCCCTCCCGATTTCCCAGCCCCAGCCCCTGGGGTGGGACCCCGGGAATCCCTCCCCCCTCGGGCTGGCAGCGCGCCCTCAGATCGCTTCAGCAGCTGCGTCCCGCCTCTCTCCCACTGGACAGCAGCCAGGGACACGGGAGCCCTCGCGGCCCCGCTCCGCCCTGCGGCCCAGCCTCCTCACCAGTGCGGCCCGGTCCCCTCTGCCCCACACTGCAGCCTCCTTTGCCCCAGTTCCTGGACTCCGAGGCCATAGGGGACAGGGGACAGAGAAGCTGGGTGGGGGCAGGGGTGCAGATGCTGGGCCGGCTGGACAGGGGTGGGTGGGGGCCACTTCCCTGGAGGCCCCGCTGGAATTCACCCCCTGCCGCTCCCCCTGCACAGCTGTTTATAAATTCCAGGCCCGGCCTTGGCCCCCGCCCAGGTTCCCCCTCCCAGCCCGTTTTCAGCCCCATCTGTGGCCCAGACAAGGAGCCCAGAGCTCGCGCAGGCCTCCATGCCAGGGCTCTGCCTCGTCTCTGGGTCTCCTGACCCGCCCAGACGTGCTGCTCCAGCCTGCTCACACGTGTTCACCCACACGCCTCCCCACCCCTCAACGTGTGCCAGCATGGAGGAAACATGGTCTTACACTGGCTCCCTTCTGTTGCCCAGCCAGCTTAGGTCCAGCCGACACAGGCCCAAGTCCCGTCAGAGACCCCGGGCCCCTCTCTCAGACCCAGGAGACCAGGCCCCAGCCCCTCCTCCCTCAGGCCCGGGAGCCCCAGCCTCACTCACCACGGCTCACTCTCTGTTTGGCCCCCGACAGGATACCTGGGGTGTCAATGATACTAATGCTCTCCAGGACCTGATTGGGGAGCTGGGCACACATGAACCTAGGGGCAGAGGGAAGGTCAGGGTCAATGCACAGAAGGGCAGAAGGAGAGGAAATATAAGAAGGGAACTCAGGGCTGGCCGATTAGCTCGATTGGGTAGAGTGCAGTGTTATAACGCCAAGGTCAAGGGTTCAGATACCCTTACAGGCCAGCAGCCATGAAAAAAAAAAAAGGAATCAAGAACAGAGGAGGGGAGGAGGGAAGGGAAAACTCTGGAAAGAGAAAGGGGAGATCAGAGGAGAGAATTATATTTACAAAAAATAAAAGCTACTGCTCGCTGAGCACTTATGTTGTGTCAGTCCTCACAACGACCCTAGGTGGTGGGGACTACCACTCTCCCCACTTTCCAGATGAAGATCAGAGAGGCACAGAGAGGTTAAGTCACTTGCCCAAGGCTATCCAGCTAGCAGCACAGCCAGGATTTGAACCCAGGCAGGATGGCTTCACTAGCTTAACTGCTCCCCTAGAGAAGGGAGGTCAGCAGAGGCAGGGACGGGAAGAATTGGGTAGACAGAAGGGAATTGGGGCTAACGAGGAGAGAAACACAGTTGTGGATAGGACAGAGATGAGACCCAGTGACAGGAAGATGCACCCCTGGCTTGTGGCTGCCACACCTGTTGAGGAAGGTGTTCCCGAAGGGGTTGAGTTTGCGGAAAGGCTTGTCTGGGTCGACGACGAGGGCATTGCCAGGCACAGTGCCCTCAGTATCACCATGCATGACGGCCACGAAGCAGTCGGTGGTGGGCTCAGGCCCCACACGGGAGCCAGGCACCTCCTGCTCCAGCAGGTACTGGATGAAGCTGGTCTTGCCTGTGCTGTACTGGCCGGCCACCAGCACCATTGGCTTGCCATCAAAGTCAGCATCCTCCAGGGCTGGCGAGTGGAAGGCCCCAAAGCGGTAGTGCTCCTCAAGGGGCAGCAGCTTCGTGCGGTACAGCTCCTTGAGGGCCGAAGTCACCGTGCGGATGGCCTCAGGCTGTTGGCCCCGGGCCCCACCCCGCTTCAGCCAGCTGAACATGGTGGCTGCGCGTTGCCCACTGGGCTAACCGAGAGAGAGGCACAGGTGGAGAGCTGCCTGTGGGAGGAGGACAGGGTACAGGTGAGGCAACGGGTGGAGGGAGCACCGATGGTGGACTGCTTGGTAGAGGAGGAATGGAGACTGCAGGTAGAATGTCTGGGTGGTGGAGTGGGTGGAAAAGGAGAAGCAGAGAGCACTGGTGGCAGGTGGCAGGAGGAAGAGGGGGATTACAGTGAACTGGCTAGAGGAAGAGGACGAGGTTAACAGTGATATGGTTGAAGCAGGGAACTGATGGTGGAAGACCAAGGTTTGGACAAAGGGAAGGATGCAGAAGCTGCCTGGAAGAAACGTACGCCTGAATCCCTTCACTCTTTTCTTCCTCCCTTCTCCCTTCCATCATCTGACACATTTTCACTGAAATCACATGCTCCACGCTTCAGGAGCTATGGACCCAGACATTTGCCAGAAACCAGCTCCTACCCAGCCAGAGCCCCTAGTGAGGTCCTGGGTGCCAAACAGTTAATGATGTGTGGCAAATGCCAGGCATCCAGGGGGGGACATGATGAACTGACCACAGGATCCGCCAAGCTCAGGCCAGGGCTGACTTTTGAGCTGCTCCATGAAGGGCAGGCAATACAAGGGTATTTAGGCAGAGAGGATGGTGTGTTCAAAGGCCCAGGGGTGTGAGAGATCCTTAGGTGATGGGAGCTGTGAAAGGTCTGGGTTGGATGGCTGGACATGGGGGCACAAGGAGGAGAGATTAGGAACAAGGCAGAGGAGGTTGCCCAGGTGCACCCAGGTCAGGAGGAGCATCGTGCATGAACAAAACTAACAACTCAACATCTACGATCAGTGCATGCCAGACACTCACAAACGTCCTAACTCATTTAATCATCATAACTCTGTAAGGTAGGTCTGTTATTACCCCCACTTTTCTGACGAGGAAATAGAGGCTCAGGAATATAGCAATAGATTGCCCAAGATCACTTAGCTAGAAGTGTTCAGGCTGGGACTCCAGCCCAGGCAACCCGACCTCAGAGACTGTGCTCCTAACACGGGTCTAAGGAACTGAGTTAGGGGGAGAAACAATTACCAACCCAGCAGCAGTGAGCACCCCAGCACCCAGACTGTGATCTCTACATTCCGTCACTTATTCTTTTACTCACTGTAGGATTTGTAGTGATGTCCCCTCTTTCATCCCCAGTAACAGTAACATGTGTCTTTTCTTTTTTTTTAAATCCTGATGAGTTAAGTAAAGGCTTATAATTTTACTCATCTTTTCAAAGAACCAGCTTTTGGTCAGATCAGAGTCCCTAAATACCAGTCCCCACTAAAAGAACCCAAGGCTCCTTGGAGAAACGGCTGATGCCCGGGCTTGAGCAGGTCAAGAACAAGGGAGCCTGGATCACATAGTGGATGCCACAGGCCCAGCCTGGAGGGGCTCCCACTGGCGAAAGGCGGGACAATTTGAGCGTCAAAATAACTGCCAAATATGTTAACATCCATAAAATCGTAATGATACTTTAAGGGGGTGGGGGCTGACACTTCACAGAGGAGGAGTGGCAGGAGAGGTAGCGAGAGGCGGTGGCAGGAGCCTGGACTCTGAGCCCGCGAGCGGGCCTGTGAGGTGTCCCGTGCAGGGCGGGGTCTGGGGGACATCCTGGGGAAGATGTTTGGGGGCGGCTGAAGGGGTGATAGAATTGGTGAGGTAGGAGAGGGGCTCTTGGGTGGCAGGAGGGACCAAGTAGGACAGAGATGGATGAGGACGTGGAGGGAGCCTCCAAGGAGCGGATCTCCTCTAGCTGGGAGGATGGAGAGGAGGAGAGCCTGGGAGGGGCTGGAAGAAGCGCGGGGGACACTGTCACAAACCGAGAGACTGGTGGGGACTGGGAGGGACTCGGGACCCCTAGGGAGGCCGCTACAGACTGGGGTGTGGGGGTGGACTGGGGTTCTCGGCGAGCCGGGGAATCTTCGGGAGTCGGGGCAGGCTGTGCGGACGGGGGTCGCGAGGCGACAGCGGCGGTCCGGGCAGTACTCACCGACGGGGCGCGCTGGCGGCGGGCTGGGCGGGGGTCCCGCGGGGGTCCGAGGCGCCCGCAGAGCGGCCTGGGCTCGAGGTCGGGTCCGGAGCCGTCTGAGC